TTATATTCAAGTTATAATATTTAATTAAATTACATATAACAAATACATGACTATCACTTTTACAATAATAATAAAAGATAAATATAAATCAATTTCTAATATGTTACGAAAATTATATTGAAAATTGGCAAATTGACAAATTTGAGAAAATATTATTGAATATTTTATTATATAAAATATTTTATTTTAATATTTGTAATAGCTATATTTTAATTATAATATTCCGTTATTCAACTCTTGATATATTTGTTGTAAAATCTATTGGTATATGGAAGAGGAAAACAATGTTTGAAATATTTACCAATTATGTCCTTAATTTTTTATAATTTTCACACATATTCTGTTCTATTGAAAACTTGTACTTGGCTTATTCTCCTCAGCCTGTTTAGATACATCAGCACTACCTTCTTCTGTATCTTTATCTGTTCTCATTCTTTTGGTGGTGTCGCGGAGATTGTGAATTACAAACAAATGATCCTTTAAGTCTTGTACTTTGGGAGAGATATTTAAAAAGTCTTTGCAATAATAACAATATGGTTTTTCAACGCTTCTATTAAATCTCATATGATTCTTCAACCAAGAATTAATGATAGAATTTTCAATTTCGTCAAAATGCACCGAAAAGTGAAGATGTAAATTAGAAATCTTATATGCATGTTCCACTGTTTCTCCACAAAAATCGCATATCGCAGCGTATAGTTCGCCTCTTTTGAAATTTCGCCAGATCGGCTCAGGATCTTCTTCCATTTTCCACTTGTCGACTTCTTCTTCTTTACATATGTTATGTTCGTAGAATAAATGTATTTTATGGGAAGTGTACATTTTGCTCTTTATTGAAACGGTACTCCCACATATATTGCATTTTAATAATGCATCCTCAATTTTATGAAAATATTTCCATATCCAACTTTTCGGTGGCATATCTGCACAATATCACACAGCTCAGGTTATTACACGTATCAACTATGCCAGGCAAGACGAAACTGTCGATGCTCGACGAAATTGTCTATGAAAAGAGGAAGACGTGAACTCTCGCTTGAATGTAAACAAATATTAGCATATATTTTGGTTTTTTTTTATTAGCGACATTATGTCGCTTTGAGTTTGATTATTTGTTCCTCGAAAGTCAAATCAATGTAATTTTCTATTTGACCATTTATGAGAAATTAGGAAAAGAATTAATTTAATCGAAAGTTTACATGTCCAATTCATCATTTAATTTTTTTATATAAAATTACATAATGTTAGCAATTATTAAACAAAATACTTGTGATAGCAATTAGTAAACAAAATACTTGTAAATTCTTTATTTTATATAAATTTATCCAAAGAGCATTGACATTGACATACGTATTTAAATCTGAACGGAAGATCAATATAATGAGATTCTACAGATATGTAATGGTTTCGTTTTTTTATTTGTATATTTATTATTTTCTAGCATATATTTTTCAGTAAATTAAATATTCATGTGAATTTTATATTCAATAAATAAAATTCACATATATTATATCATTGTACCAAATTGTATCAAAATTATATATTATATAATAAAATCATATATTATATTATTGTATCAATTTGTATCAAAATTTATATACATTCTTGATTTTGCTTTGGGTGATGATGGATTGCCTAACACAGCAAAGAAGAATAAGTGTAATTCTCTAGAAAAATATTATATATTATTCTGATAATCAAATTAACATTACTCGTGACGGTATCCATCAATCGAATCCTCTTTTCACTTGGATAAATTTTGTTTGAGATAAGTGGACCTTATTCTCGTCTATCTATCTTGCGTTCACTTATGTTCTAAGATCCTTTAAAAATTATTAACGTATCGAACTTTGCTCGTTGTACGATCAATATTGTCTGGTGCTAGGCAATTTGAAGTATCTACAATTTGTGATTCGGCGCGTAAAATATTATATGGCTTGTTGCATCACTCGACTAAATATTAATCGAAGAAATGCGATTAAATCGAAATTTAGAATCATTATTTTATTTCTCTCATTATACTGCTCGAACCGTTTTGTGTATGTTTCTTTTTCTTCGTTTTGTTTCAATCCATCAGCTAGTACACATGTAGTTATGTGTTTTTTGTTTTTTCAAATTCGATTATTCAACACGAAATGCATGCTTTTAGACCGTTATAGGTGTGACAGTCCGATCGCTACACGCTTATATTATATTTTCAACTGTCATGTATCATGATAAAAATGATGATACAATTAATGTTTAATAAATCATAAAATAACAGAGAAAATTTTTAATAAAATATTTTTGTGCAAGTTCTAACTTTTTCATTCGTAATTGGATAAAATGTGTACAACGTATATAAAAAAATATATCTACTGTCAAAATGCATTATATCTATGTTGATAGCTGTTCACTCACGGAATAAACGTAACGAGGGAACTCATCAACGTTACAAAAAAGAATCGATAACAATTCATTTATATTCGAGAACCTTTTTAACATGCTTATTATAGGTTAATTGAAACCGATTTTAAGTCATATACTCTGACATATTAGCTTAAAATTGTTGACTGCTCTTACATATTGAACTACATTTCCATATGATAGATGTAACATATTATGTTATTTTGTTCTTAAAAAATATCTTGAAAATAACTGCTTTCTCGTTCACTGAGAATAAACTAATATAAATTTCTCGTATAGCAAAAGTAAATTACGTCGTGTTTAAAGGAATGATGATAAATCATCGTGGTATGTTCAATTATTGAAAATTGATTAGACTTTATTTGAGATTTTTCTATCGAATTTTTTAAAATGGGAAATATATAGTCGAATTCAGTTCTCACATATAATTAAAGAACAATTTAATAAAAAATATGTCCAAAATTTTCTTACCGTACCGTACCGTATCAGATAATTAATGAAATGTGTTAAATATTTCCGTTGTAACTTTTACTTTAATCTAATAAAAAATGATAATATGTGCTATCGTCTAGGCCATGTTTTAAACATTGTTGATATAAGATGAATGCAAAGATATGCAATTGTAAAAATTAATTCAAATATTAAATTCTACAATAACAACAACAAAATATATTATTTGATAAAAGTGACATATCCAATCGGTTTATTAACCAAATAGATGACTGGGGAGCCGAGGGAATGTGAATAATTAAATCAAATTCTTGTTCCATTTTAAAATATACTTTCTAACGTATTAAATGCGTAAGACAAATTATTTTTTTAAATGTCAACTTATTATAAAAATGTGTCCATTTCTATTATGATAATTCATTCATAATACATCGATTTTCGAAAAAACATGAGTATGAAAATTAAAGTGTTATTTAGTAATTTTAAATATTAAGTAAATATTAAATAAATATTAAAATAAATATTAAGATTACATATGCTTTTTACAGTTCAATATAATGTTATAATGAGTGATTATAAAATGACTGATTATAAAATCATATCAATTGTAAAATATAATTTCAATCAAATATAATGTAAATATCAACTAATTTTATACAATTATCATTTTTAAAATAATTATTATAATCATATATAAATTATACATAATTACAATTATAAATAATTATAATTATAAATAATTATATATAAATATTATTATTGTATATAATATAATAATTATATATAAATTAGGACTCTTGCGATACCATAATATTAATATAATCAAATAGATGATGTATAAAAGAAAAGCAATTTCTTATTATAGTCCTATGTTCTTGTTATGGATGTAATCTTTTCTTCAGTCATCGTCATTAATGTCAACATCTGAGAAAAAAGACAGTCCTAACTTGATATATGATTTCATTGCTCTCAACGTCTTTTTCGAAATCTGTATCATCATCCTTTATTTATTTTGAACTTATCGATAACCTGCAAGCCAATGAGAGAGATGTATAAAAAAAGAAAAAACTGCCTTAATATTGCTAATATGATGTTACATTTTAATTAGGTATATTATTTTATTATTATATTTAAAATGGAATTGTTTTTATTTATCCAAGAAATCACATATTCAAAATCCTTAATATTCAGACAAACGCCAAATTTTTCTAAAATTGGTGTATATCAAAGAGACAATAAATTAAAAGATTTTAATGTATATATGTATTATTAAATTGAGATATGTTTTTGATATTGACAACAAAATAATTTCGGATGTTAAAAAAGTAATATATTAAACACATATATTGAGATTATAATATGATATTAAGAGTATAACACATATTTAATATGAAAATTTTTATAATAATTTAAAGATACTTTTTGTATTTAGTACTTGATATATATAATATATTTGATCTTACTTCTCACAGACTAACAGGTATTTGCAACATTTAATACTATTAATTTTAATTGTTCTTTTTGTGTGGCTTCTTAGTATGTATCGTTTCGTTAAAAATTTGAATTTGTATTATTCTTTTCAACAACGGATGGTTGTATTATTACATCAGTAATGTATTTTTTCCCACAGTGCATTTTTAATGGTTTTTTTTGCAAAAAATATTTTAAGTTGCATTTGAGTTAATTATATTTTATAATTATTTTTTTTAATTATATGCAGTATGTCGCGTCTACAATGTCAAAACGAATGTTCGATAAAGCTGTTTAGAAGAAATCGAAGAGAAATAGAAATCCTTGCTTCAATAGAAATATATACAGTGATATATAATTTCCATTTTGTCAAATTATCAAATTGTTTGCTCTACATTTAATTCTTTAAAGTATAAGACACAAAAATAATGTTATTTAATGTATTATCGGTTTTAATATCTATTTCCAATTATATCTCCTTGCTGTTGCACTATAATTTGAAATTAGAATTCGATAATTAATATTATATTTAACCAGATATTTTGCTGATTATAATTATTGAATTACTAATTCAAAATGTCTTTTTTTGTACATAATCGTCTGCATAATAGAATATTCACTCAAATATTATTAAAGTTCTAAAAAAGTTTATATTCACAAATGTAATTTAATTAATTACTAAACATTCAGATATTAAAAAAGGGAGATTTAACGAAATTAAGTAAAATTTAATATTACAGTATTTATATATATATATATACAAACATCAGAATATTTCATTCTAATATTTAAATCATGCGTTATATTCAAGTTATAATATTTAATTAAATTACATATAACAAATACATGACTATCTACTTTTACAATAATAATAAAAGATAAATATAAATCAATTTCTAATATGTTAACGAAATTATACTGAAAATTGGCAAGTTGACAAATTTGAGAAATATTATTGAATATTTATTATATAAATATTTATTTAATATTTGTTAACAGCTATATTTTAATTATAATA